GCGTAACAGCCACCAAAGACCTCGTTGAAAACACTGCCTTACCAACTGACCCCATGCAACAACGAAGAAAAACTCTTTAAGCGTGCACCTTAAATTACGCCAATTACACTTGTCTCGATCATATTAGAGTCCTACTTTCGAACAAACCCCAACGTGGATCCATCGTAAAGAATGTTCCGTAATAGCTATGCGTTACGCCACAATGATCTCAAATGAGATTACGCGAAACCACTAATTTCACGCTACCGTTCGAACAATCGAGAAACATTAACAACTACATCGTCTTGTATTTCCGCTTAGAACGACGAGAGATGCTGTAAATTCAGGACAATAACGATTGTTCTTTTAATCGGTGAAGATGAGCTAAATCGTATGAAATTGCCTTTCCACGTTGCACATTGAATCGTTTAAATTGAAGGGATGAAAATAACTCTGAAAAATGAGGGTAATAGACATATTTGGTCAAAATTATTTATTATTTTTCAAATTTTTAAAAACATAGAAGATTCCTCAGTTTACTCCATCGCTGTCTCTAATAGTTTTCAAGATATTAGATTAACTACTTCATCCCTTAACTGTGGACGATTGCCAATTTAAAAAAATATGCGTGCACTATTTTTTCTCGAGAATTATCATATACCAAAGTTTCGTCAGAATCGGTGATTGTCCCTTCGAGATTTTCCCTTATAAGACTTGAACTTTAAGACTACCAATATAAAAAAATATGCGTCGAATACTTTTTTCTTGAGAACTATCATATACCAAAGTTTCGTCAGAATCGGTGATTGTCACTTTGGGATTTTCCCTTGTGAAACTTTAACTTTAAGATTAACGAAAGAAAAAAATTCGTGTCGAATATTTTTTTTTGAGAACTATTATACCTATACCAAAGTTTCGTCAAAATCGGTGATAGTCGCTTCCGGATTTTCCCTTGTAACACTCTAACCTTAAGAAGAGCTTGCATTAAAATATCCAATAACAGAAAAACAACGATCACGCTAAATTCTTTTCGATCCTCTTAATTATAAAGAATATTCCTGTTCACTTAGTGGAAATGTTACTTTCGGCAATCACCGGTGATTCCCGCTCGACCGAACACACACGAAACAACCTCCAGCCAAGAGACGACCGACTCAAAAATGTACCAACAAACAGGTTAATTTCGCGACACAATTACACTCACTTACGTGTATGGTTACTTTGCAATTCGCATATTTGACTGCTTATTAAACGCACGCGAATATGACATTAATTAGCTGGATTTCATCCGTTCCGGTGCAGTTTCGAGAGCCCCGGTGCCATTATGTGGGTCGTTCGGAACGCCTAATTGCGGTGGTTCGTCGCGTGTAATTATTCGTATCGCGGGCACACGCGGTCTCCGCACGATGACCTGTTCGAAATCGCTTGAACCGTTGAGTGCTGTCAGTTCGAAAGGTCGTGAGTACCTGCGTGTACCTGCCAGACTGGCCTGACGTTCGTATGCCCCATCCTTTTATGGGGCTAAACTGCATTCTTCGACGTCTTACATCGGGTTCACCGCGGCTGCGTCCTTCTCAAAATAGGATCGATGTATGGATCGCGTGCTTGATGGAGTGAACTTGAAATATTCCGCTGGGGTATCGGTTGCAGGCACAGGTACTCGATATGTATCGCGACCAATTTTTCGGATAGATGTTGAAGAGGGGAGCCGTTTGTCGTTTTAATATCGTCCATCACTTGTTGCTTTGAGTGTTATTGTAGCGTAGATTGAAGAGGATATGAGCGAGATGGATTGAAGTTGTTGGGATGAAAGTGCGAAATTAATTTCGTTGTAACGAACAGAAGATGTTCTTGTATAACTTTGGTAGATTTTTCAAAAATTTTGAATTTCGAGAAGTGTTTCCATTTTATACCAGCGAAGATAAAAGATATTTGCAGAAAGTGAGGAACAACATTAAAGAATAAACATTCTCCAGTTGATGGTAAAAAATATCAAAAATTATGTTTTTGTAATTGACCTGAAGAAATTAATATCTATAGATATAGATTTGTAACCTGTTGCCTTATGACATAATTAAGGTTCACGTGTGACAAATTTGAAAAATCTATTCTACGACACTGATACACCTATTTTAAGTATAATTTAGAGAAGCAATGGAACAATTTCGTGAAAGCCATCGAATGCTTGAATAAATCACAGACAACCCATTTTATTCAATTTTTGCTGCAACAAACGTTAAGTTAATTAAACGGCAATCACGATGTCTCGCAACGGAATAGCAAAACGAAGAATCGTGAGTTATTTAAAGGCGAATTAGAAAGAAAATTAATTTGGCTAATTCGAGATTAATTTCCAATCACGTTTGATCAGTTAGCCACAGCAGTTGCTCACGTAGCGGCATGTGCTAATTACTTCTTGATTAAAACCTCTGGCTGCACTTTCGATCGTCTTCGTGGCCCGCATGATCTACGTTGCGGAAATGTCGTCGTTAATTCGTGATTAATTGCAGTGACGAAACTGTGAGCCAATTATCGGCGTCCTTGTAAGGGTAGGCTTGCGGTAATTAAGAATGGACAATTATTAATGGGCTTTCATTTATTTCAGTCGCTGATGATAAAAGGAAGCATCTTGCAGTGCAAATAAATTACCGACGACTGATTGCATTGCTATTTCGTAGGAACATTTTTATAATTGAATCGTTTGCAGGTAACACATTTGCAAAAAAGGAAAAAGGGGGATCGATACTTGTTTGTATGATAAGTTTTAAAAATTAAAATTCAATATTTATTTTCGTTAATTGGGCGATTTTATTTGTGCAAATTCTATTGAAATTTTGTAGTATCACAAGTGTGTTAAATTTGAACGAGAGACTGTAGAAAAAAGTCTGCTACGTTTAATTTCTCGTAAAAGTGTGAATGTAAAATTTTTGAAAATTCGTCACTTATTGCCTTTAATCCGGCGACTTTATTATTTTCTCAAATTTGCCGAAAACACTTCTAGTAACAAAACCTGTTAACTTTTCATACGTTTAATTTCTCATAAAAGCGTGAACCGGATGCAATATTCATGCGGTTTCGTGTCGCGATGAAATTCAATTATTCGAAGAATGAAAGTTTCATGGCTTTGCTTTTTGAAGTTAAATCGAGAGTGTCTCGAGGTAATTGCGAGTTAAGCTCTAAAATCGTTTCAGTGGCATCTCTGTTAATTCAGTTGAAGGGGAAGTTTCATCGTTGCAGCAAACTTTTATTCAGCTTCCCTTGTTCGATTGCCTTTTAAAAAGCAATTGTCACAGGTAGTCGTGGATAATGTGATTATTAAATATTCAAGGACTCGACGCTCGTTGTTTTCCTACGTATCGAATTATCGATTATCCGATTAATCACTTAGAAACTGAATTTAACATTGCAACAGTTGTGCCGCGTAATTAGCAGTTTATGTGAATTCTCCGTTCAGTCGTAATAACGGCGAACTGTGCAATTTTTCGCGATAACGATTACTCGTGGGGTATTCGATACTTTCCTCTTTCGTCGCAATACAACTTTTATCTCTTTATTCGTAGTACATATTGTGGAACTTTAAGTAAATCAAGGTTCGTTGATTTGAAATGTAGAATTTATTTGCAACAGTTCTAATTTCTGTTAAACTTGAAACCATTTGCTTACATATGGTTGTAATCCGTTATCTATGAATGTACAAGAATAATTATTTTACATCGCAATTAAATATTATCAGTTGCCTTTTCTCAAGATTGTGCAAAAGAATGAATAAAAAATAAAACTACATTTGCAAGTATTATAGTATAATTCCGAAATAGAAGGGAAGTCTTTTAAACCTGCTCCTTGTTTTTCTCACACATCAAAAACGAAGATACGAATCACAAAAAATACGAATAACGAAATTTTCATTCGAAAACTTCTATCTGCAATGATTCTCTATTACACCATAAAATTTTTTAAAAAATTATTCTGTCATAGAATTCGCACAATTTCTCCGCGAATAAAAGTGAGTCCAAAATTGCGCAAACCTCTTGGTTCTTATTTCACAGAATCGTCGTCACTCTTCCTCCTAAAAAAACCAAGTAACACAAAATATCCCACGGACAATAACGAAACTTGCGAAAAGTGCAAAAAGCTACCGAAAACATTTCTCGTTCGTGAGGCAAGAACGAGGTCGATAGGCTAGCCCCGTGTGCGTCAATTTAGGCTAAAAGATGACGAAGGCGCCGCGTTTTCCTTGCCGACATTCATCAAAGTCGCCGGATGACATCATTGTTTGTTTCGAAAAACGAACGGCGAGGATATCGTTGTCATGATCCAACGGGAGGCACTTTAATTGAACTCACTTGTAGCCGAGTGAAACAAGAGCCCAGTTTCCTCGTAACCGAGAGCCACCTCCATCGTGGACACACTCCGCCTCGTCTGAAACGTTCGTCCTATCTCTTGAAACGGCGTTTTGCTTCCCGAAATAGCAGCGCCAATTGTAGAAACGGCTAGGATTTGATGGGATTCAATTGATTAGAAGGACGAGGCAGCAGCTACGCTTTGTACGTGCTTGAAATCTGCGAAAAGAAACGTGGCTAGTTTGCACTTCTGTTCCGAGAATTACACAGTTATCTTTATGGTCGTTTCTGATACAATTGAATGATTAATTCTTATTTTAGCAACGATACACATTTCATGGGTGCTCACGTGCAATATTGTGGCACTGGACGATTATTGTGCTTTCCCATTCGTCTTGATTTGTCACGTATTGACGTTATTAGCTTCGTTAATAAGAATATTATAATAGTATCTAATAACAATGTGTGGGGGAAAGGCAGTGGGTTCGTAACATAATTATACATTTTTTTATTTTCACAATAAATAGGAAGCATAAACAGTGACGTTGAACTATACAGACACTGTGCTCGGTGAAATAAAATTAGCGATGATAAGGAAATGAAACGAAATTCGGCGTTCTTTTGTTCTTTAAATTTTTAGTACGAGAACAGTGGTGCATTAATTTTTCATTTCTGTTTCAGCAAAAATGTGTGAAAGCGCGTGCCCTGTACGACAACATCGCGGAGGCACCGGACGAGCTGGCTTTTCGAAAGGGCGATGTTCTTACTGTGCTGGAACAAAACACCGCTGGCCTCGAGGGTTGGTGGTTGTGCGCGCTGCGAGGTAGACAGGTAATTACCTCTTTTAACGGAACTTTCCAGCGTACTTTTCAACAAGAAGCTGATTATTTCACTCGGCTACAGTCTCTTTTCGTCGAAAAACATTCGAACGCGGAAAGGCCTGTCTCGTTGCACGAGCAAGTGAACGTTATCAATTAATCACCGTGTAGAACTTCGCCTTGGAACTTGAAACTTTCTTGGAAAAGTGGAGGTCCGTTAATATTCTTACGTGAACGATTAGTATTCCGTTTATTACGAAGATGGATCATTTTGTAGCTTGTACAGCGTAGCTCTGTGTGTCGTGTTTAAAGAATGCATAAATCAATTTTTTTAGAGATGTTGTGCAGTAGAAGACTGCGTGGTATCATGAAAAATATTTTCTAGATTTGTTTGAAATAAATTTTGGAATACACCTTCAAGCAGTTTTCAGTCATTTATTATGAAAAATTATTAAATGTCCGACACAAGAGAAATTATTTTGTTACAGTAATTTATTAAGTTTACAATTTTCAGTTTGCAATTCTGAACGAAGTTAGGTATATTATAGATTGGAATATATTTTTTCAGTTACTTATAAAGTGTCTTCTTCAGAAACAGATGCTTCTCTTGCCAATATTCTTTCAAATCGATCATTCTCATCACTTTTTATTGCAGTAATGTATTAAGGTTATAATTTGCAATTTGCAATTCTGAACGAAGTTGGAACAATATATTTTTTCAATTACCTGTAAAATATCTTCACGATAGAGCATAGGTAAATATCGAGAAGCAGATGCTTCTCTTGCCAATATCCTTTCAAATCGATCACTCTGTAAGAGCCATGTTAACAACTCTAGCAATTCTCGCTACACCTCTTCGCCAATCAGCCCACTCAAGTTAGCTACTCTAAAAAAAAAATCCATCTTCTCGAATCTCTATCGTCGCACAATACGTATACACACACACACACATATGTACAGTGAAGACACAGAACGAGCTTGAGCATAAAACTTGAACCACCGTTCATCATCGAAACCCTCCTCCTCGGCGAGCCTCCCACTCCTGTTCTTTAAAAGTTTTCACAGTTGCCCCAGTTGACGATCGAACAAGCCACTTACGTAAACGTCCGCGTTCATCGAGATCGTATGTGCTTGCTCGCGAAAGCCTCGCCGCGGTTCTATTAACGCTTCACGGAGTTTATCAGCCGCTCCAGACGAGGAACATACAAGCTGACTTACAAACGCGGTCGGTGCATTATTTATGCAGGTCGGTGCGACTAGCCTTGTCCATCCTGCTCTCTCCATCTCCCGATATCCCTCTTTCTCTCGCTCTCTTTCCATCTCTCTCTCTCTTCATATTTCTCTCGCTCCATCTCTCTTTTTCTCTACCTCTCACTCTCTTCATATCTCTCTCATGCTCTATCTCTCACTCTCTTCATATCTCTCTCTTTCTCTGTCTCTCACTCTCTTCGTATCTGTCTTTCTCCTCCTCCATCTCTCTTTCTCTTCATCTCTCACTCTCTCGATATCTCTCTCTTTCTCTCTGTCTCTCCCCTCTCTCTGAATCTCTAAACACATGACACGGCATTATTGTCGCGGAAATGGGACGTTAGACTTGCACCGTTACAGCCTACGATCTAAGATCTTCATCTGTGACTGTTTGATAGAAGGGAAGGGAGACGTGGAAACGAGCTCGAAAGTGCGACTCGAACCGGGCTTGTTTCCGCGTTCGACATCTGTTCGAAAGATTTGTGTACGGCGGCCCGTTGCCTCCGCGACCTACGACAATCACGTTACCAGGCTTATCTCTGATTTTCACGGGCTGCCCTACGTCAAAGGAGCCTTCGTGTCAGCGCGGTTTACACGCTGGACGCGACTGGAATGCGGAGAGCTGGTGGTTAAGTGGGGTCGATTCTTACCGGCCGTAACTTGTCACCCGATGGATTTATCGGAACCTTTTTCTAACTTTAACTTTAATTGTAACTTTCTTTTTTTTTTCTTCTTTGGTTTGGTTCAAGTTACGTTCTGAACGAGCAGGTATTCGTTTTGTAAAAGTTTCAACGTTTTGGGGTCAGTCGTCATGTGGAATCTGCAATTGAAATCATTGAGAAAAAATTGTAGGTACACTCGTTGTTCCATCTTTTATAGTAAACTTGAAAAGTTCGTGTTTTAGTAATTATTTATTAAAAGAAAAATTAACAAAGAAATAACAGTCCCATAATTTTGCATTTCAATCAATTGTGTATTTTTCTTTCGTAAAGAATAATTAATTTATTCTTGCTTTGTGCAATGAAACGCGCAAGAATTACTGCGAAGCATTCGAAATGTTTTGCATAATACGAAAGAATTGAATTACAGTACAATTGATCTTGCGTCCTATTGTTTCTTCAAATTCTCACTTTAATGGCTCATCTTCGCTCATTCCCAGTCGGTTAACTATATAATCCTTATCCTTTGCTCATAAAACGCATTGGTCATCCTTGGAAATCCTCTCACATTCGAATACAGTAAATTCTCTACAAGAGTCAGTAAGTTTGGATTCTACAAGTGTCTCAGTATAAATGGTCCTACGCCTAGGTTGCGCCTATGCTATCTCGCTCGCTCTCAGTCAACAGCTCGAGATTTCACGGCTGGACAAATCATAATAGAAAAATATAATTTCTTTAATTTTACTTTTTTTCATCTGAAATTTTTTTTAACATGT